GGTTCACACTGTCCTTATGGGGACTGCACAGCAGTGATGTCAGAGAGGTTCACACTGTCCTTATGGGGACTGCACAGCAGTGATGTCAGAGAGGTTCACACTGCCCTTATGGGGACTGCACAGCAGTGATGACAGATCACACAGATTCATAGCTCAAAATGCACCTGTGTTTCCACAGTGGTATTAAGAAAAACACATCCAGATGCATGAGGTTCATTATTCAGATCAGCACAGCAGGTGGGAATGTGTACAGCCTCCACTGTACACCCTGAAAAGCAACACCCCCCCCCTCGCCCAGGATTTGGTGAAGGTCACCGAGCCTCATGGTCGGCAGGTTTTGCAGAAGAAGTCCAGCCTGCTGCAATCCTTACTGATTAGAGTAGGGATGCCCAATCCCCGCAGAGCTTAGGTACAGCCCTAATTTAACATACCTGATACAGGTAATTAGGCCCTTCAGTTATATCCCAGTATGAGAACCAGCTTGACCTCAACATAGCTGACTGTAATATTGAGGAGATGATTATCAGGTGTGTTAAATGAAGGCTGTACCTAAGCTGTGCAGGCTGGCTGGTCTCCAAGAGCCCTGGATCAGAGTCTCTGCCTCTGTGTGTCCGATGTACAAAAACACAAGTTCCTCTCCTCACAAAAAGCTACCTGATGAACCTTCTTTTATTTTCTGGAATCATATCAGTAGTAATACCATTTATTTTTAATATACATGTGCTTGATCCAACCTAGGCTGCTTGTTTTCATTAACCCAAAAAACTCCATTCATTTTGATTTAAGCCACAGTCTTGTCGACTCCTAATTAGCTTCACCAGTCGAAAAGTCAACCCTCCCTGTACGACATGTGCATCACTCTCCGGCGGCTCCCGGTGGCCAAGGCTGGTACTCACTGGTGGTGTTCCCCGTCATCTGGATGATGCATTTGCTCTCGCGCCCAATCTCCCGCGAGTTGAAGGGGCGCACGCGCACCGCCACCTTGACCGAGGCGCCTGCCATGGTTCCCCCGCTTCGCAGTCCAGGGGGGCTGCTGATTGGACGAGGGCCGACGCGGTCGCAACCTGCAAGAAGAGACGGCAAGCCTGGGTCATGGCAAGACAAGATGCAACACTGAGCCCCCAAGGAACTGAGGTACGAATGGCTCCGCATTTTACTGGAAATCCCTAACACACAATCAAGCGAATGCCCAGCAATGGCACCTTCCATAATAAAAGTTAACAATTGTGTCATATGTCTGGAAATTTCCATATTAAAAAAATGCGTCCACACGAAATCCTTTCCTCTAAACAGTAATCTATCATGGGGATATTTATGCATTGGAAAATACTTTTTTATAGTGCATTTTCAGAGACATAACTTTATATTTTAATTTCAGTATTATTCTATTATTTTATAAACAATACCCTGTTAACAGAATACAGAATAAAAATATAATAACTGATGTATTAGGGATATTATCTCTCTGCTCTGACAGCTGGGATCCCTGCCTGCCGCCTGTCATTTGCGTGCCGTTCATTTTTCCGGGCACGAGCTGGGCTTCTGTGAGGCCTGTTGAAGAAACCCCCCCCCCCCCCTTTGTTCAGAGCCGCTTGCCGATGGCTGCAAGGGCCGTCTGACCTGGCACTAAACCCAGGACGGGCGAGTCCGGAGGTGAAATGCACCCCCCCGCCCCCACAAGACACCACACACCACGCGGCGATGTCAAGACAAGCGGCAACAAAGGAAGGGTGGCCATGGTTCAGATAGGATCTGATTAGCCACTCCCATCAGGACCACGGAAAAGGCACTGTATCAACAGCCCCCTCCCTCCCCCCCCCTTCACCAATTACCAACCAAAGTTGTTCTACTGTCACCTCTGCAATAAAACCATGTTACGCCACCTGATCTGCATAAATGACCCGGCAGCCTGACCCTTGTGAGCTACACAGCTGCAGAGACAGGCTGTAAGGGGAGGAGAACATCTCCGCCATCTTCTTTCAGCCACCACATACATTAAACATCAACTCGGCTCACATGACGCTTAGAACTCCGCTGTGATTCAGCATCTGTCACAGATCAACAGGGGGGAGCACTAGCCCTTAAGGACACGGAGCCCTTACATGCCAATTCACCCGAAACCACTAAAACCATTAAAACCAGTAACTGCAAGGCCCGCTGGAGCTGCTGCGGCCATGACACTCCCTGCTTCCGTTGCCCTCCCAGGGCCAAGCTACGTCTGCCCCACTCAGGCGTGAATCATCCGCTACCTCAGCCACGACCACAGATGACGTACGTTTCTCGTATTAGAAATTAACATCAAAATGATGCATGTCTTTTAAAATGCTTGCTTTAATGCAGTGTTGACCAGTATCATTTATTTTGTTTTCCTTTTTTCCCTTCAGACATTTGACACATTATTATTATTATTATTATTATTATTATTATTATTATTATCATTATTATTATTATCTTAAAAAGGATTCCACTAACTGTTTCGCTCTGCTCATACCTTAAACCGGCCGCCTTGTCTATCCGGTAAAATGGGCGACCGTCGCCTTTTTTGTTTTTAATGGCAGCAAACCAATGCATTCGTATCGGCAACTGGGAGGGACACGGCCGGCCAAATTCTGACGCCGATATTTCGCAAGTCACTGCCGTTATTTCAGCGGACCCGCCCGGGAACGCGCACCGTATAATAAATAATGCACCGGCGGCGGTCATGCGCCTCGCAGCACGACGGCTCTGCGTGGAGATCGCGTCTCAGGGCTGAAACCTTGGGAGGACAACTCAGCATTTTCTGCTGTGATGCCAAACACAATTAAACCCATGTTTTAGTGCACGACGATGTAAACGAAGCCTGGAAAGACGGCCACAAATCTGAGCGGAAATCCCCAGAATATCTGTTTATACGCCATTAAAATCCCCGTAGCTGTTCCATCATTCACCTGCGTGTTACCTGACGCCCGGATCCATGTTTGCTACCGTGGTCAGCGTTTTGAAATCATAATAAATCCTACCAATCTACCTCTCCTATGCATAGGTTCAAATGCAAAAATAAATGCGTTTTTCTTCAAAAAGGGATCAGTTTGTGTTTAGCATTATTTTACATACAATTTGTGCGATTTCAGCGTCACTTATCATTGATCTATGGTACCCCGGGGGAATCCAGCAAAAAACGTTGCTTAAATTTATGTACATACTGGGTTTCGTCATTAACACAATCTGAAGGGTATTATCTATGTTATATCTATATTATATTTTTGAGGAGTATTTTAGCTACAATGCAGGTGTTCCGTTGTCCAATCAAAACCTTCAGATATGTATATTTGATTTCCCTTTGACTTTGGCCCTGAATGACAACGCATTTCTCCAAAACCTCCTCAGATGCCGAAACATTATTCCAATCTTACAGGAACAAAAATTTTTTTTTCAAATAAGCAAAAGCCTTGAGATTCTTGTTTGCCACCCACCAGACAAGCTCTAAGACGTCAACAGCCTCACCCGCACCCCCCCCCCACCCATCATAAAAGAACCATCTTTCATCTCCAGCAATAAATTTTCACAAAGCCTAGTCAATACAAAGAGCAAATTTTCAATTTTCCAGGGGACGCAGAGGTCGGGGAGCATCTTACCTTGTCGGTGTCACGTTTCTGTTGACGGCGGCTGTCCCTGCCTCTCCCAGGGGCTCCCGGCTCTGCTGGCTGCTGCCTCAGCCTCCGTTCAGCCTCCCCTGTTCCTCACGCCCGAGCAGCAGGGAGACCGGCTTACGGGTGCGGCCGGATGCGCTGCGGGGCCTGGTACCGACTGCCGTGTCCGAAGGGGGAGGGGGTCGGGGATCGGGGGCGACAGGGACCGGCCGCTGTGCGCTTAGTGATCCAGAAGGCAAAATGGCTCTGTTGACCAGCCAGGGCTGAGATGCTAAGCAGCAACGAGCTATGACATCACCAGCGAGGCAGACAGCAGCATCAATGCAGCACAGGGAGAGGGAGAGAAGGAGAGCAAGCAAGCGAGAGAGAGAGAGAGAGAGAGAGAAAGGGGAGGGCTGTGTATTTGTGGGGGGAGGTGGAGATGAGGAAGGGGCTAGCATCCCAGGGAGAGCTCCCCCCCCCCAGAAAAAAACAGCCACTCGGTGTTAAGCTCCAGGAAGTACTCTGCCTTAGCTTCATGCTACCTGCGAGACTTTAATTTCTATGCAGAATTAGCTTATACATGATAATTCTTACACATCCTTAATTTGGTGAATGGAGCATTTGTAGGTCATGGTGAAACGTCCCTCTGTTAAACTGTGGAAAACAATGCAAGTTATTGTTCAGTTAAGCTGAGATGGCTGATTTATTGTCTGGTATTATCATGTATAATGACACTACACGCACCACCTGGGGCAGAGGGCATTTACAATTAGCTAATTCTATAACTGCTTATTAAATCCAAACCATTTGTAAACCCTGATCCATAGGGTTGTATGAACTGACTTCTTGTACTTTTCTCTGTTCCCAGTTCAGCATGTCACCATATTCTGGGTGTAAATTTGCACAAAGCAGGACGGATATGCAGAAGCTGGTATCCCTTTCAAGCCTGTAGCTTTTCAATGGCTCAATGTAATATTATAATTGTATGAGCCCAGTACATCAAGCTGCATCATGGTGGAATATGTAATGGACAAATTGGACCAACTACCCATAATGCAAGTGGTACTGTATCAACATCTTTAATGTTCACTATTCTGGCACAAGCCCAATGATGTTTACTAGGCTCCAGCAGCAAGGAAGGATTAGTTACAATACAAAACGTTGTTTTTTTAGAGCTAATGGAAGCCAGCGAAGCTGATTCCTCGAAATCTCTTTCACGGTGAATGTACCCTCTCTCTGCGGTGCCTGTACAAACCAAACTGCCACATTCTGACTAATAATAAGATTCTGAAGATATCACTCCACATGGAGGTGACTCTCTCTTGCCCGTCTTTCCCAGGGACTGGCAGATGTGCACAGATAAGGCAACTTCCACCCCAAACATTCGGATCTGCATCTGGAAGTCTGGAGAGGAGATGGCTAAGAGCAGCCAGAGCGTCTCAGATTAGCCACCAAACAAGCACCTCTGAGGGGGTGCAGTGCATGCTGGGAGCCGCACAGCTTCCTTGGCTGGTGACACTCATTAGACGTGGTCATGTGACTCCCATCATGTGACACCTAGCCGTCCTCTGACAGGGAAGTGTGCTGGAGGAGTGTGCGCTGCAGAAGATGTGCACTCTGCCTTAAACGCAACGTGACACCGAGGAGAGGGCGTGACAGCCAGCTCAGTATGAAAGATACATGAAGAGAATTACAATCACGCAAAAGCCAGGGAAAAACATCCTACTACTGTAAGGTTTTATATATAATACAAGATACAGACAAAATTCTAATTTGATAATGCCATATAAATGAACTGGCGTAATATAAAAAACTCTGAATGCTGTATATATATGCTGCAGTAATATCAGGAACAAAAAGCACACGTATGCTGTGTGTATAACATATAAATTTATACAACACAAATCAGGCAGATACATTTCTGCTGACAGATTAATAAAAATCAAAAACTGAAAGATTTTTATTTCTTTCAGCTTCCCCCATTAGCACATTTTTGGGGGGGAAACATTTCTCTTTGCACTCTTTTACGACCTGAAACTCTACCAAGGATCTCTCTGAGATCTGAATGCAGATGTTTAGCCTAAAATGTCCCGAGAGGAGCCACATCTGTACCCGGTACCTGCCCCTTTAAAAGGGGGGTGGCACACAGCCCCCAGGGAATGGCTAAATGATGACACGCTGTCTGTGTAGTGAGATGGGTGGGGCAGCTGGAATCTATTGTTAATGTGGCTCCCTCACAATAGAGAGCACTGGATGGGCCTCGCCTACTGACCTCCGGAATGTACCATGGTGACTGCAGGATGGGGACGGCCTGGTTTCGATCCTGGGAAAGCACAAGAAAACCACGACCCCTGACCTACACATAGTCACATGGTTCCAGTCCAGCACTGCTGGAAATTGCCTTTTTAAAGATTCACAGACAGCACCACTTCTTCCACGGAAGGTGGGCAGGTTCCCATAGGCGGGAATTCCGTTAATTCCCATCCAGCCTGGCAAAGGGAAACTGGCATTGTGGTCCTGTCAGAAATGTTTGCACCTCCCTGAGTGATCCTGGGCTCAACACAGCTACGGCTTTCTTGGGGGTCAACACCTCCGGGGGCGGGAATAGGAGGGGGTGGACTTTCTACCAAAGCCCTGTCACAGGATTCGGAGGAGACAGATGCCACGGTTGTTGTGACGTTTCTGTGAGTGGCCCAGCGGCCATCTTGGCTCCACTGAATGGATCCGGTTGTGAATAATTCATTAGCAGCAAAGGGCACGGCGCCAAGGCCACTGCGTTCGAAGGGACGCCGCACGGCCCTCTCACAGAGGACGCGTAAGGTCAGCCGAAGTGACCGACAGCAGACGCTCTGGTTCGGCGCAATCAGGACAGACACTAGGACTCCTGATGCAAAAGTGCGTGACACTCACGCTGTGCCAGTTCACAGGACGATGACTCAGCCCCCGTGTCACTTCCTGTTTCTACATGATGAGCGCTTGAACAGTTAAAGCATCCTGAGGAAGAATTATGTATTGTGAATTTATGTACTTTAGAAAGGAATTCAATTAAAACCATACATTGGCACAATCATGAAAAATTTCCCCTTTTCCAAAATTTTGTTGTTCTTGGGGCTTGAATCTTTCCATTTAACGCAGATTCGCTAAACGGGGGGGCGCCCAGCAACCATGATGTCTGTCCTGCGACTGGCATCCAGGCCCCAAATCGCGGCTCCTGAACGCTAACTGGCAGCTGCCTCGAGCATATCCCAGGCCTGAGTCTCTGGCTTGTTAGGCGCCTTTTATTTCCAGCTCATTATTTCAGCTGTTCTTCCTGCCGTTTGAGCTGTCGTACATAAGTAGTATTCATCCAAGTGCATACAAAGCCCCACTTGAGGTGTAAACAGTGGAGAGTTTACATTTTGGTTCCGTAGTAAGAGAGATCAAGTGACGGAGGCCAGCCACTGGCCAGACAGCAGCGATCAAAGCGTTCTGTGTGGCGGTGACACCCTTCTGGGTCCTTCCCAGATCCAGGAAGCAAGTCGGGTGATGTTAACTTCTGCGATTGTAAAATTAACTCACCGCTCCCTCTGCTGGAAAGAAGTAGTAATACATTTCACTGGAAAAGGGGGCCAGGCCTGAATTATAAAAAGAGCCATTATTCATTGCTGATTAGCACGTGGCACCTTCATACAGCAGCAACTTTCAAATCAAACACCACCACAAGTCACATGAGATACTGGGTTCATTTCAGAAAATAATAAACAGGACTGATTGCGTCATAACAGCATTTAATACACATATATAGAGGAGAATCAATCCATCCAACTTCTAAATGCATCTCCTGGTCAGTGCTGCCGGAGAGAGCCTGGGGCCTGGAGCCTGTCACAGGACGCAAGCCTGGGAAACCTATGGATGCGATGCTCTACGACCCCAACTAGGATCAGCCATTACAAGAAGGATGATGTATTGCTTTTTCTAAGGGGCTGGGCTGTGGCATCGTAAGGCCCAAAGGGCCTGACACAGTGCCAGCAACCTAAGGCTGTTTTGCGTATTTTAATGCCGCTATCAGTAGACGAGAGCTGCTATGGCGAGTCTCAGGGTGATTTTACCTGCACAGTGACGTCCTGCTCCTTTCCTGCTGCCTGTTCCGGTGGCAGATAACGTAAAATTCTGCAGGTGAGTTTGGAGCCATATGGCCTCCAGCCACATCAAAGCTTTTAAGGAGCGACCAGCTTTTATTTGACTTGAAGACAGCACAGATAAGACGAAAAGCACGGCAGCAAGCAAACCGTTTTCATGCCCCAAATTCAGCATCCCATGCTATTTTTGAACATTAGCTGCCTTGTGTTTCTGTGTGTCCACATCTCTACGAATCTGTCCTCTGCATATTATCATATGTAAATGGAGAATAATGTATCTGATTCTTTTCCAAAGAGATTGTGTTTGCAGTACATATAAAAACGTCTTTTTGACATGAAGTAGGGTGATTCATTTTAAATTGTATCCTGGTAAGAGTAAGTATCCTAGCCACATGAGTATAAATTAGGAGTAATTGGTGATGAAACTTTTGGGATTAGACCACTGGAGTAGAAGACAAACATATCCATGGTCTGAACACGCCCCGAGAGTCACTCACTATTAGGACAGTGTCGTGCTGTGATTTCAAACCATTCAAACAAACCCCTCTTACTCTTTGCTAAGGGTTACCTCAGAGCTCGTTATCCTTGCCGCTGGAGATGCCAAATTTGGGCTTACCGTCGCGCTAACCGCTCTCAGTGGTAGGGGTCCGACTCCGCCACGGTACAAAGGCCAAGCTAAGGTGAATAACAGAGCCGCACATATTTACAGGACAGTCTAATTATTGACTGTCCAGCACCAGAGGTTAAGGAATCCAGCCAAAGTCCTTGCCCTGATGTGTGTCTTATACTGGAAAGAACAGCCTTTTTCTGAACCGTGTGCTGGTTCGATCACCCTACACTGCAATGCCAAGTCCTGCATTTCATTTGCATTTAAAGGCAATATCTTAAATTCAGATGTATATCACTGCTGAGCTGAAGGGTTTCATTTGGTATTTATCGCTCTCATGAGGAAATATTTGCATTATCCCCACTGAGCCGCAAAGTGTAATATACAATATATTTGAACCTGTTTTCAATTGAATTACATTTCACTTGTAAATAGTATTCAGTTTTAAAAGATGCAACATTGAAATAAATATTCCAGCTTCTAGTCAGTGTTTATGTCACAAACAGCACTTAAACTTAATAGACTGGGAGGCAGAACGTCGCACGACGATGTGGAATAAGGCAGCATCTGCTGAGTGCTGCCAAAGGCCGGGCAGCGAATGACGTCTTTGTGACGTCCTTCTGTTGCCAAGACTCGGCCCAGAGCCTGGACAGCAGTAACAAGGCCGTAATTTACACTGAATGAACACGGCGAAGCATTTTGTTACGTGAAGCAGCAGAATCAAATCATAAACAGTGAGTATGCATCTCCGGATGGACGTCAGAGAAGATGCTGGTTTCCAGCTCTGATGTGACAGTGACAGTGTCCTTATCTGCAAAACAGTCTGTTCTCCCTGGACTGCTCATGACACTGGGACAGAGCAAACAGTGGGTTACACATTACCCCAAACCAGTGAGCTCCCCCATCCCTAGATGCATGTTTGAACTTTAATTTCATAGATCGGGTGGCAGACGTCCGAGAAGGAAGGAGCACTAAAATTAAACTTGAAATATTTGCCAAATGTCAATGTCAGCACATCCTGCAGTTAGAAAAGGTCTGACATCAGAATATCTAGAAGAAAAAAGAGAAATTAACTGGCCCCTGAGCACACGTGCGCACACGTCTATAGCCAGCCAATCACGTCCCACGCAGAAGCACAGCCCCCTCTCCGCCTTCCCTAAAACCACGGCCCAAATAAACAGCCCGGTTAGGAAATCGCCTGACCCTACACCTCAGTTACACAGCATGCTGTCAAAGCAAGGGCAACGTAAATCTGTCACACAGCAATAACAGTGTCACACTATAATAACAAAAATGTGGCAGTGAATAACGTAATAACTGATTTATTAGTAAAAACCCAACATTCAGCATGGATATCATCTGCTGTGATAAGGTGATAATTAAGAGGCACACTGAATGATTTCCACCGTCCGTATTTTGAGGATACGGTAGCATGCGAGTAACACTGACGCCCCACGTTCAAGTTAAAATACAACATGCGTGCTTCCTTTTTTTGAAGGACGTTAGTTATGGCTAAAGCTTATCCCTCAGCCTAACCCTATAGCTTTAACCATGAGCAAGGACATGTTAAGGCGACTCTTCTAATCAGGAGATACTTCTACTGTAATTTGTTTTTATATGGCCAAATAAACACTGTGCTTGAAATACACTTTTTACCACATTTCACATCCACAGATGTAAAAAAGGAAATGGTGGGAATATTGTATAGATAAACACCTGCCCGGTTCCATTAATTATTAAAAAGGTTGGAAAAAGCGAATGGTTTTATATAAGATTTTTTTGTCTTTATATATGTTTTTGCTTTACTACCTGTTGCTTTACTGACGTTAAGTTCATATATGTTTTAATTCTTGAAACAATTAACTTAAATGCATATTTTAATATGCCCTTTAAAGACTGCTTCTAAGTGCAAGTGACGTACACTAGAGGCTAGAGGTCAAAGACCTGCTGGATTTAAATGTTCACAAAACCCAATGTTGAAGGCAGTGAGTCCCCAGCTTTGCTAGGCGCATCAGCGGGAGCCCCAGGATGATACAGAGGGCGTTAATGCGCAGGGGCGCGCTGCTCGCCCTACAGGTCGCGACGGAGGGCGCCCTGCCGCCCGTCACCCTCCGCCGCTCCGCGTCCTCCCTCTCCGTCCCGCCGCCGACGTGCCTCCTCAAGCCCTTAGAGGCTCCCTATCGGTACCTTTTCGGACCGGGACCGTCCAACGTGCCGCCGCGGGTGCTGGCAGCGGGGGGGAGACCGATTATCGGTCACATGCATAATGAAATGTTCGAGGTAATTTCTTTCTGTGCGTAATTTTAACTGTGAACCAGGGAGCAGGAACTGAAGCCAATGAAATCTAGATTAGTAATTTCTGAAAAGACATAAAATATGGTCATATTTGCCTTCAATGTATGCTGTCTAGAAATTCAAGGGAAGATGTTACAGCGGCTGTAAACTTATTTGCAAGTACTTGACATACGATAGCACTTCAATTATGCATATTTAAAACTTCAACTTTCATAATTAAACCTTGATAAAGTTTGCCGAAGTGCAAAGGTGGGAATTCGATCACTGCTACGTCTGGCTAGGAAGGTCTGCGAGTTTAAAGAACAATTTTATAAACACCGAAACAACAATATATTATAAGCATAGGAAATGACCATGTATAGGTAGTAAATCTGCCTTATCCTTGCAGATCTAATCCCATTGCAGTTATGACATTTTAAAGGTATTTTATCATAGGTGCAGTGCTTCGTGTGTTCCTCCTTCAGATTATGGACGACATCAAGAAGGGGATCCAGTATGCTTTCCAGACACAGAACAACATGACGATCGCGGTGAGCGGCTCCGGTCACACCGCCATGGAGTGCGCCATCTTCAACACCGTGGAGCCGGGCGAGAGCGTCCTGATCGCCATCAACGGGATCTGGGGCGAGCGAGCGGCAGAGATCGCCGAGAGGATAGGTATGTCCCATCGGGGGCGTCTTCATTCATCCGGGGGATATGGCATTTTAACTACTGCTCAGTGTAAAACGCAAACTGCTTCGCTCTGACAGGTGCTCGAGTTAACACTTTGGTAAAAGCTCCAGGCGGCTATTTCACCAATGAAGAAATTAAGCAGGTATTTTTTTGTTATTGACATTACGAATGATAAACTACAATGTCTTGCTGCTCACCCCATAGTAACAAATCAAAATATCTTGATTACTCTGGACGTGATCTATTGCAAACTGATCCTCTGTTTTCCTCATACATTCTGTTTTTTTCACCACAAAATCCATCTGAACTCATTAAAAGCTCTCTGGAGAATATAATAAATAACTTTTTCAGATAAAATAAGAAAATGTAACTGGAACTTATAGAAAATGTGCACAGACCGCTTCAGTAGCTCTGAGCTGAAAAGCAAAGCTGATGGTCTGCTGCAATTCAGTGTGATAGTGGTCCGTCTCCCTGCAGGCTCTGGTCAAACACAAGCCGGTTCTCTTTTTCCTCACACATGGAGAGTCATCCGCTGGACTGGCCCATCCCATCGACGGAATCGGAGAACTGTGTCGGATGTGAGCCTCCCTTCTCGGCCAGCCCGATGATCGGGTGGATGACATCACTGGGGAACCCGCATCATTCTGATAACCCTGAGCTTGCTTCTGCTCCTTAGGCACGAATGCCTCTTCTTGGTGGATTCTGTGGCGTCCTTGGGGGGAGCTCCTCTCTTCATGGATAAGCAGAGTGAGTCTGAGGTGCTGTGTTCCTGTAACGGGGGGGCACTCTTCACAGTAGACCTCGAACGTATGTTCTCCCAGTGATTCGGAGCATGAGCCTGTTTTGCTGTGTGTCACAGACATAGACATCCTGTACACCGGCTCACAGAAGGCTTTGAACGCCCCTCCTGGGACGGCACCCCTCTCCTTCAATGACAGAGCTTGGTGAGTGTTGGTCTCTGGCTCTGATTGGGCCATAAACTGCAGCCGACTGGACTGTGACACAGACCTACATGAGGGCCTCTTGGAACTGGAAGTAGGACTAAACAAGGCAGGTCTCAACAAGACTTCATGCAAACACACAACCAATTAATTTTGAATAATAATATTGTAAATACTTCAGATTATTTGCAGAAGCTATCAGTGCTTTTGCAGAAGTACCCCTTATTTTTCCTGATTGGTTACCATCTAACAGGAAGGTTTGTTGGCCTGAAGCCCGCTCAGATAGCATGCTGGAGCATGTGATTATTCTTCTGTCTTTTTTCTTGCTCCCATACAGCAAAAAGATGTTCAGCAGGAAGACGAAGCCGGTGTCCTACCTCCTGGACATGACATATCTGTCCAACTACTGGGGCTGCGACGGAAAGCCAGCCAGGATGTAAGACTCGGCAATGTGAATGGTTAAATGCAGCAGCAGCAGCCCAGCATAAACAATGAAGCCACTTTTGTCTGGTTCCAGATACCACCACACTGGCCCTGTATCTGGCTTCTTCTCACTGAGAGAGAGCCTGGCCATCCTAGCAGAAATGGTGAGTAAACCACTATGTTTTGGGTTTTCATTGGTCTCATCCTGGACCAATAAGGAAAAGACTGGGCATAAGATTAATACATATAAATGCATAAATGATGGGTTGCTTCTAGAATAGGCTCCAGACTCTGCAACTCTGCAAAGGACAAGCGGGTACAGAAAATAGATGGATGGATGGATTGATGGATGGATGAAAATGCTCTCTGAAATGTGCATATTAGAAGAGACATTTTCAGAAAACAGAAGAATGAGCACTAGATTGAACTTGGCACCGTTTCCTTGTACGAATGCGGTTCTTCTCATCGGAGTGCAGTGTGAGCCTACTGCTTGTGTTCCTCAGGGCCTGGAGAACTCGTGGAGGCTTCACAAGGAGGTGTCTGAGTATCTGTACGAGGGTCTGGAAGCCCTGGGCCTCAAGCTCTTTGTGAAAGACAAGGTGAGGATCAAAGCGAAAGAATCGGCCGAGGAACAGACCAAGGGAAGTGGGGACCCGAGGCAGTGACACGCAGGAGGCCGTCACTAAGGCTCCCTACCGAAGATCATCACCATCAGCCTGTAGGAATTCAGCCATAGAGTCCCAGATTGTAGTGCATCCCATCAAATCCCATGGCCAGAATTCTCAGTAGGGTCAAAGGGCAGATCTGGCATGCCTTGTGTACAGCCCGCCCCTCCCTTTCAGTGGAATTTCCCAGCATCCCCCTCACCTTCCCCAATTCCCCTCCCGGTTCCCCGTGACCAGCATCCACATGTGTCTGATCTGTCACCCAGAATCTGAGGCTGCCTCCAGTGACAACCGTTGCTATTCCTTCGGGGTATAACTGGAGGGACATCACAAACTACGTCATGAAGCACCACCAGATGGAGATCACCGGGGGGCTGGGGCCATCCGTGGGCATGGTGAGTTTCCATGCGGGCACCCACATGCAAGATGTACTTATGCTGGACCTCCATGAGGGGCTCTCTCAGCCAATCAAAAGACAGCTCCAGAAGAAGTGTATGTAGACAGCCCAATGAGGACGATTATAGCATTGATGCTAATTACCTAGAAAACATCGGTGTTCTTACACAGTGTAGTTGCTCTAGAGTTAGATATGATAATGTATGGCAAGAAAGCAGCATTTTTGTGCCCTCCCCTAGGTGCTGCGCGTGGGTCTGATGGGATACAACTGCAGTAAAGACAACGCTGACAAGGTGTTTGCAGCCCTGGCGGATGCACTGAAGCACTGCCCCAAGAGCAAGGCGTAGCGATCCTGCGAGGCGTCCCCGCACCACCTGCTCCATCAGCCCAGTCGAAGAACCGCAGTCTTGGCTGACACTGCGCTGGCCAAACCGGACATAAAGATCACAATAAATGAGCGTGACGCCTGTTCACCGGCACTGACGTTTTTAAATTACATGATTAAACAATGAAACTAATTGCAGTCGCCTTGTAAAGAATATGCTTAATGTGTTAAAAAAATAAATGAATATGGCTACACAGTGTTGCTATTTATTTTCATAGGGAAAAAAAATGAACGTGGACATTCATTTAGGCAACGCTTGTAAATATATGGATTAATTAAGTATTCCATTAAAATTCTGATGACAACAGATGGCACACTACGGTGAAGTAAGGCGAAACCTTTGAACGGCAGATGGCGCATGCGAGCAACAAAAAATGTATACGTGGAACTGATTTTGGTAACAACTGAAATCAGCAATCAGAAAATCACTAGGTGCAAACACTGTAGTTACAAAAACGCATCACTCATACAACACCCTGTAATGCCTGTAAGCTTTTTTAGGACTGGTATACTTAAACAACATCTTATACTTACTTATACGACACATGAGCAGAAATATTTGATGCGCGTATAAAGCCGCATTTACGGCTCGCAAACGTCCTGCGTAGGCCGGAGCCCCTCCTAGACGTAGCGATGCCACCGAGGTTTATCGTATAGCTGCCCTACTTCCGTTTTAGAAAAGGCGCGCAAGAAGTAATGGTGCACAGCTGCCCGAGCCAAGAAAGCGAGGGAAAGTGGATGTTTAAATAAGAATAATAATGATGGGTAGAAGAGGGGCTCTTATAATACTGGAAGGGGTTGACAGGGCTGGCAAAACTACGCAGTGCAAAAAGCTGGTTCAGGCGCTGCAGAAAAATGGTCGGCCGGCTGAAATGATGAGATTTCCAGGTAATTTTTCTCTTTTTGTGTTACCTGTTTTCACTCGCTGTTATTGCAGGGACCGCTGACTTAATTTTGATGAGCGAGTAAAAGTTTGAAAAGTTAGACTGATAGACTGTAATTCAGTTAAATAACGCTGCACGGGGTGATTATAGCTACATGTAAATGTAAAGATGCAAATGCATGGCGTTAGTTGAGATTTTGTGTTGGCTGTATGGTATGTGGTATTTCTCCGTGCAGATTTTTACCATAGCAGATGGATGTTTATTCTTTGTACCGTTTGCTTTGCTCAGACCGAACAACTATGATCGGCCAGATGATTAGCTCCTACCTTGAGAAGAAGACCAACCTGGAGGATCACACGGTGCACTTGCTTTTCTCCGCCAATCGCTGGGAACTGGCGTAAGTATCGGGCTGATGCTCGCCTCTCCTTGCCCAGTGTCTGCTGTGATTGATGCATTACTCCAGTTAGAGCAGATCCCATGCATCTCTATCCAGATTGGCTGTTTGGAGAATTACCACTGTGGGAAATGCTTGGCAAATGTAGAAATGGAAAATACGGACTACATTTAGTAGGCTGCAAAGGTCCTAGTGGCTTTGTCTTGTTAGTAATGTGGTCAAGGCTGCTGTCTGCTGAGTGGACTCACGGATCTCCATAGTTGTTCCCCCGGTGGAGTCTATACATCTCTCTAGACCAGGGGTCTCCAACTCCGGTCCTGGAGAGCTACTATCCAGTAGGCTTTCTGTCCCACTTGGCTTCTGATGAGCCACACCTGTTCCTGCTTTTTACCTGAGAACAGGTGTGGCTCATCAGAAGCCGGGTATGATAGAAAACCTACTGGACGGTGGCTCTCCTGGACCGGAGTTGGAGACCCCTGCTCTAGACATACGTCATTTAGCCTCTTTTGAAGGTTAGCGATTTTAGCCAAGTTTCCATTTTTCGCGTCGTTGTCAGCGTGAATTCAGTCGATGTTGCAGGACAGTCCGAATCCTCCACACGTCTGACCCCTTTCTCACAACTTTAAGGCCTCTGATCAAGAAGAAGCTGCAGCAGGGTGTGACTCTGGTGGTGGACAGATATGCCTTCTCGGGGGTGGCCTTCACCAGCGCCAAGCCGGTATGTCCAGTCCTCCTTGTGCCATTCATTCGGATTTGGGTCAGATTACCAGGACAGCACTGCCAAGCCTGCGGGACTAGGGCACAGCCCATAACTGCAGACACATCTCACCCAGGCCATAGACTTACCGAGTGGCTGCACTCATGCAGACGCCTCCGTAGCGTAAGGCCAGGACTGACAGGCTGGGGAGAAGCTTATTCCTGCAGGTCATACTAACGTTAAACTGCGTGATCATTGTCGTTTTTCATTTGCATTACCCAGGATACATGGTTTTAAATTCTGATAAATGTCGCATTTGCACTTTACACCAGTGCTGTGCACACTTCATATTACAGTCATATGTATTTTATTGCCTTTTCTAATTATTTTTTAAATAAAAATTTCACTTATTTTTCTTAACTTTTTCCCTTAACAGTGACATTTCACTGCTGTACTGTAGTTGTCCATGTGAGAAAAATATTGAATGTTGGAAATGAGGGAAGAAACCATTACCCAGCCTCCTATGAAACTGTTCCCTTGTTTGCTCTGCTTTTTATTAATGCCGTCAGTGGTGATCAAGTTGGGGTCCTTGTTCGTCTGCAGGGGTTCTGCTTGGAGTGGTGCAGGAACCCGGACGTGGGGCTGCCCAAACCGGACCTGGTGCTGTTCCTGCAGCTGAGCCCGGCCGAGGCGGCGAAGAGGGGCCAGTTTGGGGTCGAGCGTTACGAGACCAGCGACTTCCAGCAAACTGTGCAGCACAGGTTCAATCAGCTGATGAAGGATCCATCCTTGAACTGGCAGGTAGGAGGGGGGGGGTCTCGCTCACCCATCCCTTAACTGGCAGGTGGGTGGGGGTCTCGCTCAGAACGTAGAGACAGCCTGCCTGCAAAAACAGGCCTGTGTGCCACGGCCCTACCCTGGATTTACCAGCATTCTGAGTTCAATTTAAATGTAACGTGACCTCCTGTAAGGACGAGAAACAAAAGCTTAATATCGCAAAGGTAATCTGACGATACTGATTCAGCACTCACAGAAATGGTGACACTATTGTTACCTGAATCCTGACTCTTCAGTCAAATCTAAGGCTGCACGAAAGGCGGGGAGGCTTGTGGCAGGTGTCAGCCCTTTCCTGGGTTCCTTTTCAGGTGATGGATGCCACCAAGGGCATGGAGGATTTGCACCAGGAGATCCTGAGGCAGAGCGAAGCTGCGATCGCAGAGGCCGAAAGCCAGCCAATTAAAGAGCTGTGGAAGGAAGGAAGTGCCGTGCCCTGCTGACCGGCCCTCCAATCAGGCGGCTGCTACGGTACACAGCTGGACATCGCATAATGCCCAGTGATCCAATGCTGCTCTCCCTGCAAAACAGGTCACTGGCATCTGTCTGGTTGGACACTGCTGAGCACTGCACATGTTGGGGTGAAGACGAGAGCCTGAAACACTTTATGCTTTTTCTTATTTAAATAACATATCATCACCTGTTTACCCAGAGCACCAAACCTCAGCAAAATAACCTTTTAGTAGTTCTAGTCTGAAATATTTTTATTACCTATTAAACACAATACATATGCTAAGTGTGTCATTAGCCACAAACGGTGAACCTCAAAACTTTGTTTTTAATGAGCTTTAACTTTATTTCATTTATGACATTCCTGGAGTATGTTTATACTGCCAGGGTTGCATTTTAAGTGCTATCCCATAATAAACACAACTGCTGAAGGTAACTATGCACGTTTAATGACTGCAATAAGGCTTCTGAACATTGTTTAGTATTTCTGAAGAGTGAAGTACACCTTACATTATCCCGTTGTGTGAATCTGGAGTCAAAGCAAAGAAGCGACACGTCGTCCATGAGTCACTGCGCCGAAGCGGCGGGCCAGTTCAGCATCCCCGAGTGCCTGGCCGTGTTGCCTGGCAACGCCAGGACCCCTGAGTTTCCACCCTCACTGCCAAGGCACCGTCTCCATGGCACAGAGTTGCAACAGGATGCTTTATTGGGGGACAGTAATGCTGCTGCGTACACGGAAAGCACCCCAAGCTGCACTTTTTTTGTTTTTCTCATTTTATATACAAAATAAATTACTAGGATTTAGTGGCAAACTGTAAACAAAAAAGAAATAAACCATGATTCTAGTGCCTCTGTAACTGACGTCTTGGGAGCTGAACGTAAGTCTGTAGCTGGTTACAAAGCTGAGACCCCCCCCTCCCCATCCCCCTCCCACTGCACCACCCAGAAGGTCTCTCCGTACTCGAGTACAGGGCAAACGCTCCGCTTCACAGAGACAGGATCTCAAATTCCTCATCCTCGGAGTCAAAGAACCGCTCCAGTCGGTCTGAGTCGGAGAAATCTGTGGGGGAGGAGGAACGCCAGCAACGGGTTCAGTCTGCGTCACGGGGGTCCTTCACTTGCAAAGAGGGTGACTCACTTTTAAATACACACTGAAAAGGCTTGTATGCGAGCTGCAATGTGACCGGAGGCAGGGCGGGGCTCGGATGCTTGTGCACTGTGGCTTTCGTTCGTTTGCCCTTTGTGTATATGAATTAGAATGTGAATCTGTTTGGGGTGGTGGTGGTGGGGAGGGCACTGACCTGGGGTTAGGTTGAGCACGTCAGCGCTGGCATAATGTGATGGCTGACTGTCGACCAGCTCAAACATGGGGAGGGCCTCTCTGCTGCAGGACATCTGGAAGAATCGGAATAGGGAGCCCTTAGTGTTTATACATGGCCACTGCCAGTGTTTACGTGGGGCCCCCTGTTGGGTACAAACAGTCATTACACCCGGGGGGTGAAGCTCACCCAACCCCACACATACACAGGGTGGGGCTGCCTCCACCTAGACTGGTCGTAACACTATTGCACGTTACCATGCATGACATTAGTGTCCAGTGTAACTGTGACCAAAATTCCCCCCCCCCCGGCCTACCTTTCGGATGCGCATGCACCAGTCATCAAAGTCCTCCTCCGTCTGGCAGAAGAACCCCTGTCGGGTCCAGAAAGGAAAACAAAGCTTTGGGATTCTGGGATGTCCTACTAAACAATCTGCCAAAGTATGTTTTCAGTCATAGTCGACATTAGCTACAATTAACCATCTCAACTTACATCTGCTATTTCCAGACATTCACAAAATTCTGAATCCTGCTGATTAACTTAGAAGGGGTGATTAAATGCTGTCATAATGTGAAAAAGATGCTTGACTTATACAGTAAGTGAACAGTCAGTTACTCCCACAGGAAGAAGCCTGAATACATGCTTGTGTTTGTACAGATTTTCTTGGTGGCCATATTTACAAATAAAGACTATTATGAAGGATAGAAAATTCTGGTGTCATCAGCTCAGTTCGGGGCTGGGTGGGTGGGGCCTCGACATACCACTGCGAGGGAGGGGTCCAGCTCTCGGATGTTCATTCGGCATGGCGGATGCTGACAGTGGTAGGTGTCGTCTGGCACCTGACCATCGTGGGACGGCTCCACGGCAACCTGGGTGGTGTGGGGGTCCAGGTAGATGAGCTCCTCACCTGGGGGGGGATGGGGGGGGTCAGGTCCAGCTCAGGTCAAACCCCCAAGCGGCCCACCCAGGCAGCGGAACTCACCCACAAAGCCGATGAAGTAGTGAGCGCTGTTGGGTTTCCCTCCTATGACGCCGAGAGACTGAGGCAGCATGAAGCATTGCTGCTCCCAGGGAGACAGGTGTCAATACTGCGCGGAGCGGTACGGTCCATCACCAGCTTCGACAATGACAGCGAACCTCCAACACCCATCGTGTTTCAATGTGTATGAATCCATGTGCCTCTTTCCTTGAGTTTATTAATAGCTGTCCTTGTAGGCTCTGTACACGGGATGCGTCCATCGGTGGATAAAATATCACGCAACAGACTCCAGTCACGGTGCTGGAGGGAAGGAGGCCTACCTTCAGTGTCTCCATGTAGGCCTCGTTGATGTCGCTGAGGCCCAGGCGCAGTGGGATCAGCAGCACCAGCGGTTTCCACAGCACCATCTCCTCCACAGCCATGGCGCACGCCCCCTCCAGGCAGCCGTTGAGCCCCCGCTGCGGGTCAGGCTCCGGCTCAGAGCAGGCGGCGCCCGCGTAGTCCAGCCAAGGCATACACAGCCTCTCTGAGATGGGAGATGCGGGACACGGTCTGCACTCCATTACCCACGTATCAAAGCCGTCTTTCCTGTCCTATTTCCTTTAAAGCTGTGCGCATTTATATCTTACTCTAAGTGCTAGCCGGAAGAATAATGTGCGCGGGCGTCGCTCCAGGCACTCACTTATCTCCTCGATGACCACAGTGTTATCCATGGCTACATGAACAGCCAATCGGCTCCAAGAATCGAAGACAGAGAGCTTCCTGACAGGGAGGGAGACACATGTGACCTTGATTCCGGATCTCGGTAACGTAGGAAACTCACGACACGTAGACGTCAGAGTGCCGCAAGTAACGGGAACTTAGAACGAAGGTTTAAAATGCTCTGCTCATAATTTCAATGCATACGGAAACGTCACCACGTCTATACTACAGGTAAGACCGACACTCACTTGAGAACTTGTGCCACTGTGTTGGGTCCGTACCACTGGCCAATAGATTTCCCCTCTCCGACGCCCATCTGGGCTACAGGAAGTGAGCGCAGGGGAGGAGATGGCTCAGAGAAAATGACTGTTCATTCTGCTACATTTCACACATGCAACAGAGACTGAAGATAGAACAGCAGCAAACGAGCCAGAAATCTTGGCTTACCGATCTGATGTAAAGAGTAATAGCAGTCTTTCTTGTCGATAAAAGCATTGAGGATGCTGACATACTCCTCTCTCTGACGCTGGCCCCCATGCCACCTCCAGTCTGTGAAGGACAAATTTACCACCTTCTTAGTATGTCGCACAGAGCCAGTCAGTCCCTTGTCTACCACCAACGCAACAAGCCAAGCTGCTTGACCCAAATGCCTTCAGTTATTAATGGAAATAATTCTGTGCCACTCTTCTTTCACTCACTACAACCACAGGCACTAAATATTTAGAACATTCTAGAACAATCTGGTTAGAAGGATCATTTTAAAAGGGTAGAGGAAGTACCTTTGTCCAGTGGATGAGTAAAATTTAATATTTAACCTTGGTTATGGTGTTAAAAATGACTACTTCCTGTTGATCTGGGGGGAAAAAACAATTAAAAATTCTTTATGTCCATTCTGATGGCTGACTGAGCAGAAATACCTCGGCCTAGATGCCTGCAGACCAAGGCCTCAGCTAAGATCATCTGCCCGCACCGAAGCATGCAACCCCAGCCAGTATCTGACGTGGGGCCCGTTCCTCCTGCACCAAGCAGATAAGTCAGTCATTTATATCACACGTAATGTTATCATAGTCCATTTTAGAATGTTAGGCTGAGTTGATTTAATACCATGGCGTTATTTCAGTTTAAATACTTTCCACGCAACACATCAAAGTAATACATGTATATAGCGCAGTACTGCACAAACTGATGACTACTGCACTTTTTTCAAAAAATTTAATTTCAGATTTTGTAGATTACCACTTAAAGGACACTCACCAATGGGTTGGAAGTTTTTCCTGTACGTGAACCACAGACGCGAAGAAACATCAGAGAGGATCTCGTCCTTTTCTGCAACGTTAATAAAGGTCAGAGCAGGTTTCACTAAAAGATAAATGCAGCTTTGCCGCCCACGGTAATTTTAATGTCATGTATAATAATGACCATATATATATGTGTGTAATATAATGTGTGTGTGTGTGTAATATTATATATACATATAATATATATATAGTGCCTAGTACCTGTTAGTGCGCTGAAGTTTCTCCCCAAAATCCACACGGGCTCCGCGGTCTCCGGGAAATCTTCAAACTCACCGAAGCGCAGTGTGTCGTACGTCAGGGTAGCTTTGGCACCGATGCCATTCCGATACACGAGTTCCAGGCAGTAAAGGAAGGAGTTCGCATCACAATCGCAATCATATTCAATTCTATATAAATCACTTTCAATAAAACTGCATTTTGATTTTTCACAATAATGGTTTAAATTTAAAATTGTTCACAGCATATTTCCAATCATTTCACAAGTCCCGTTTTCTTGTGTTTCTAACTGAAGACAGTGAAATAACATTCTGCAGATACAGATGCAGCGTCATAGTGTATACAGTACAAAAATCGTGTTACCGCGATAGACAACATAAAAGACAACATAAAAGCAACAAGAAATGGCTGGGGAAAAAACGGCTGTACCGACTGGCTCACCGTTAAGCATTTACAGGGCTAGGTAGGTCCCAGAGTCCCGTCCGGATTTCACATGTCACAGCACTAAACCGAACCACCGATTCATGTAAAGTCGTAGTGAAACTAACGACTCTTAAATCAGCGTGGATTATTAACGTGTGGTGCAACAGAAGTCTTTATCTCTTTGGCTGAAGTATGACAGCACATCATCATCATCATCACAAGAGAAAGTGACCAAGGAAATTATCAATCGGGACAGGGACAGTGAGGACACACCTTTTCGCGTCAAGGACAGATGTCACATAACGAGCCTCAGCGTGCTCACAAAGCACAGAGCAGAGAGTTGATTTTCAAAATTTGGGCAAAATACATAAAACAACTGGCTACGTACTGGGTCATGAAAACCAAATAAGCCATCTTTTTGTAGCTACATGCACAACAAACGTGTCGAACTTAAGATGATCAAAACAAAAAAGGATAAACAACTTGCTATCCTTCCTTTTAAATGCCATTCATAGCTACGGGGAGTGAGGTTTTTATTGTTGCTCTACGATGAATAACATGTTAGCAACACAAAATCTGCATTATTGTTTTCTTGTAACGCCGCCTTACCTGCATCCATCCCGTCAATGACTCACCCTACCTTGTTGGGCGACCAGGCGTCATGTGGTCGATCGGCAGTAACGGTTTACACCGATTCGTTAGAGGTAAGGAAGAGGGCGGGCCTTAGATTGATGCTATCCAATCAAATTGCGAATTTTCCGGAACTTCTACATTTAGTCCAATAAACACGCCAGAATTTATGACGTGGGGGATGAAAACAAATGAGACGTTCGTAAACAGGAAGCTTCCGAGAGTACCGACGTGTCCCATGATTTGGGTGTCTGTTTATTATAATCCAATGTGTATTGCAAAACTTTTTAGGCATCTGCACCGTGAACATTTGAATGTACTCTAATGTAGCTAGCTAAATACAGATATTAAGTTTAAAGGGGAGTTTCATCTTAAAGTAATTAAAGAAATTTCTGCCATGCATGTGTTCGTGCCGTGGAAATTCTATACATTTTTAGTTCCTGCGTTTTTTTCTGACTGTCTTAACATTTTGTACGTTTTCCTTTGGATTGTTATTTTTCGTACTCATTTTTTTATTGGCCAACTATAATTTACACTACATGCAGACCTCTTGAATGTTCAATAACATCCGGTCAATAAAATACAGTAGAAAATAAATGTCTTAGGATATTTAAATAGCTCACATCTAGCTTATTAATGTATGAAAAAATTCTCAGTAAAATACACTATTTATTAATTTAATATACATGGAATAGCAATAAAAACTACAACAAATGGTAAGTTCCCGTGCGATCGGGCATTAGACTAGAAGAAGCAACATCAGTTAATAAATGTGCAAACAAAAACAAACGCCATTGTGCTGTACGTCACAGAGAAACTTGGCTTCGTGAAACGTGCAGTGCTCCGCCATTTTCCTGTACGGCCGTGGGACTTCCCTTGGTTAATATCTATTGTAGTGTGGAAATTAGTTATTGCAAGTATCCATTACATTTTAGCAAGGTAAGATGGTAATCTCATGCGCTGCTGTAAACTGCACTAATCGTCAAGGCAAAGTGGATAAAACCGAGGTGTCATTTCATAGGTAAGGTCAGCATTACCCAAAGCGACAGACGTGGACATTTGGCTTTTCACAATAATGTGTTATTAGGGTGTCATTTAACATACTATAGGAACGGAACTAGCTATTATCAACACCTGTCATTAAAACGGCACTAAAATTGTAGTTCAGTCGTATCCTTGCCAGTTTAACGGACTAAGCAACTTCTACTCGATTTTTGGTGACACGTTTCACAAGGTGGCGTGATGTGTATTCGGTACAGCAGGGGGCAGTATTACATTTCTAATTGCGCCCCGACGGTCTGGTTCTGCTAGCACAGAATATGTTGAGAGGTGGTTAAAAACGTGATTTGGCTACCAAATGGACAACGTAGCAGTTTGTAATATATATTACACTTTAATAAAAATACATGTGATATTACATAACTGTATTTGTGATGTTTTCCTTTGACACCACATTTAAACAATATGAACATCTTTTACTTCTTTTGACACCAGAATTTCTCTTTCACTGGTCCATTATCAAGAATTGCTTTTCTGTGATGTTATTGGATCTTTAATATCTAGAGGATTTAAAAAACAGCAACAAATCTGTGTGCCTACGTTTCCAGGTTCCCCATAAAAAATGCAAGCCGTTTAGCCAAATGGAAACGGGCGGTGAGGCGGGAGAACTGGATGCCCAACAAGTACTCCTTCCTGTGCAGCCGACACTTTACCCCAGACAGCTTCCTGCCGGGCTGTGAGGACCAACACAGGCAGCTCAAGGCCGGTGCTGTGCCGAGCATCTTTGACTTCAGCCCCGTGGACAAGGGCACAAGGGGCAGCATCCGCAAGAAACTGCTGAGTGCACAGGAGTCAGAGGATGAGGAGGAAGAGGCAGCAGCGGCCTATAAAAGGCCTACGCAGAGTTACAGAGGGCAGTCAAAGGGAATAAGAATTTCCTCAATACCGGGTTACAATGATCACACCGGTGCTGTCATCTCTGGTCCTGATACTAACCCGGCGGCCCCTGGTGGCTTGCCTCCGCAGCCCCTGAGTCAGCAGACTGTAGGAGAGTGGTCTCTGGATGGAGAGGAGGAGGTCTTCAAGCCCTCATCCTGCGACCTCATCGATGCCTTGCACTCTTACAGCAGCACCTCCCGCCCGGAACGAGGCCACTGCAGGCACTGGGGTCGCAGCCCTGGCGGAGCGGCGTGTGCCAAACCGGGGGAAAGGGCACCCCTCACGGCCAGACCAACGGGGCCACGTCAGAGGGGCGTGACACGACGGCATCACCGGCCAGGATTACAGATACGGAGGTTGAGGAGGCGTTTGGGAATCCCCACAGGTGACCTGGCTGTATGGATAGTGCACCTTCCAGAGCTCAGATGAGCCAAAAAGATTTAGACTACAAAAGGCCTCTCATTGTTGCATGTCACTCTGCTGTGATAACAAAAAGCAAAGTCCAATTTGTTTTAATTTATAAAGATTCCTTATTACACCCACTAAAATGCTAAAAAGCAGTTTACTGAGAGAGCTGGGTTCAATTTTACCTGTATATTTATAATACTTTTAGTACAAGATTTAAATTCTTACGTATTACTGAAATGAAATGAATGAAAATAACCACTTTTCAGGAAATGCGCTGAATTATTTGTACCTCATACTGCCACGATAGACAGCAGAAAACAACGATGCCACGTCATTTGTGCGAGCTACTGAGCCAAAGACTACATGTTCTATCATGCTTAGGGGCAGATGGGTGCAATGTGATGATGTAAGAGCAAATTTGTCCTCTAAAGTACGTTTGGATGCGTAGTTTCCTTGTCGACTAGTAGGCTACTTTGAGAAACAACGTAGTATATACTGGTATATGTATATATCTTTTCGCATTTTATTTTGAATTGCATTTCAATAATGACCTGTCCATTTCAGCAATCAGGTAATGTAGCAAAATTCAGATTACGCGGTAAGATGATTTCACTTCTGGTGAGATAGATGTGTGCTTTATATTCAGGTATACATATAATAATGTTCGTTTTCATTTCCAAATATTATGATTTCCAGCTGATTATTCGGGTAGTTAGTGTCGACCGCGGACAGTATCGTGTATGATTGCATTAAGTAATTATATGTGTGACCGTATCGTTTTCTATAAAAAATGTATTTTTAATAATCCATGCACTTTTTTCCTGTATGGTAGCAGTCATCAAGTAATTTTTTTTTACTTCGTAATGAAAATTGTGTCATGCGCTGATTTAGAGCGAAGCACGGTTTTAACTGGCAGACACCTGCTGTATAATAAGTGTTTTTCCACGCTTCTATCGTGTCCTTGCAGAGGCCCCTTTAAACCCAGCAATCGCGCCCCTCGACTGGCTGCTGGGATCTTGGGAGTCGGACGAGCCGGGGGAGGGCTCCTTCCCCACCATCGCGCCTTTTCGCTACACCGAGACGCTGCACTTCAGCCAGGTCGGCCAGCCCGTCATCAATTTCATGTGAGAGCGCCGCCGCGCACACACACGCATTGATTCGAGCGCCACCTACCGGCCCCGCGACGGCCTGTGACGCGAATTCGCCTCCGGTCTCCGTGCAGGTTCAATGCCTTCCACGCAGAGAGTAAAAAACCACTGCACAGAGAGTGCGGCTTCATTAGGATTCAGCCTGGGACCAACAGAGTGGCTTTCATCATCGCCCAGAACTCAGGTACTCAAAAAAAAAAATCTCTCAGTCCAGATATCCCATCTTTGGGATATTGATTGCGGGTAGGTAGATGAGGGGCATCTAGGAGGGTGGGCATGCTGGTGTTACGGTGGCAGGATAGACGAAGTTTGCTGACCGGGGCTAGGGAGGCGAGGTTGCAGAGGTATAACTTCTTGCTGTCTAATTTGACCACCACTGAATAGGGGAATGACAGATTTCTGGGACATTGCGTATCAATGAGAGGTGGGACATCTGTCAATGCAGAATCTTCCATCAGTTTCTTAAATACTAAATAATGTTGAAATATCGACATCCTCAAAGCAGATTGTGATAGGGTAAATGGTAGTGGCCTACATCCATGTCCTGAAGAGCCATTGAGCTGAATGCTGTGTGTGGGGTCTCCCCAGGCCTGGTGGAGATCGAGGAAGGCCAGCTCGCCGGCCAGCTGCTCTCCCTGCAGAGCCAGGCCCTCGCCAGGGCCTCCTTCTCCAAGGAGCCTCACGTCCAACAGGTAGAGCCTTGGAACGCCGGTCCTGATTGGCCCAGCCCCTTTCCCACGAACGTGCTCTCACTCCTGCCTGTTCGTACCTCAGATCACCAGGCTCTTCCAGCTGAGGGCAGACGGCAAGCTGGAGCAGACGGTCTCCATGGCGACGGGGGACCAGCCGCTGACACAGCACTTGCACATTATTTACCGGCGGTCTTCCTGATGACCTGGGCCCACGGCGCCCCCTCCTGGCACAGGGTTTAGTTGTAATATATATTTCCTTTACTCAGGACAAACTGACGATAGTGGTAACCTTCTAAATCCATATCATGGTGAAATGGCACCATATACATTGTCAAATACCATGTTTTATATACTATTTTATGGCAGTGCCAAACTAACTGATTGCTACACTCGTTTTTATTTTTAAAAAACACGCACACACCTTTTAGATATCAGCCATTAATTCAGCAAAAACTCTTTACCGGTCCCTACACACATTTGAGATCGTACAGCATTTATTAAGACATTTTTTTTCTTATTGAAATGAGTCGGGGGGGGTTGTGTAATCACTTGTTTGTACTGGTAGTAGGTGCTTTGTATTAAGTGTCCGGACGCTAGTAATTTGTGAAGTTACTATGAAAGTGCATGTGAACGGCGAGGCTCATTAAACAGACGTTCAGAACGACATGAAGCGTACGGTGGTCTGTCACAGATCGACGCGTCGGTATGTTTTTAAAAAGGCAGTTTTATTGGAGCTGCTGTGTCGATACCAGAAATGTGTGATAATTTTAAAGTTATTCACAGAATAAAAAGAATTAGAAGAGGAAGGAAAAAAAACACTGTTTAATCCATGTGCTACGGGTGGGGGG